AAAGTGTTCCTTTTTTAGACTATTGCTTAGATTTTTATAAGACTGAAAGCTTAGTCTATTTTTTTCAATTATTCCTAATTTTAGTACAATATTTTTTAATGAAGTTTCTTCTGGTAGCGAACAATTTTCAAACTTCACTAAATCGACTTCATCGCTTTTTGGTATTCTCGTAAAAGTAAAATCGTTCCAATTATTATCTTCACATTTGATCTGTTAAATTGTAATTTAATGTATTTAAAGAAAATATAAATTTTATTTGTTATATTACGTAAAACATATCATGTCTAGAATGAAATTTGTATTTAAATGAATATAAATAAATATAGAAAAGTTACTAAGTATGTACCTGAACCTTTGACCATGTTTTCACGGTTATTCCAAACTTCACACCTTTCTTTGAAATGTAAAAATCATGTCTATTTATATGATTTTCTGAGCATTCACAAAACGATTTGTTCTTGAATTTAGGATTATCAGCGGAAATATTTGTAACGATAAAAAAAAGTAACATGAAAATGATCGTAGCCATTGTTTGTTTCCAGTCCACTTCAAAAAAGGAAATTAATGAGGATATATTTTTGAACCCTTTCAATTCTTTATTCTTTTATCTTTGCACATTTGTATGTACCTTATCTTACTTTTAGAATAATAAGAAACACCCACAGTTAAATTAAATCAACTTTGCAGTAATCAAATTAAAATACGAATAAGATCTTGATGTTCTTTTCAATTCAAAATATTAGGTAAAGTAACGATTTTGCAAACACGTACATACCTTCTTCTAAACATAAACAATATTAGAGAATTTGGAAAATAATTTATACATACATAGGTTTTGTGTGTGAAAAACATTTGAAGACAACCGAAACTAACGACTTTATGAGTTAGTTTATAACCTTGTTCTTTAGCTCGCAAATTGTAAACAATATTTAATTTATAAATCATATATATTTAAATCAAATGAAGATACACAGTATACAAATAATAATTTACTATCGTTTTCACGCATAAAAAATAAAATGCAAAATATAATTTAATAAACAAATAAGTTATGGAATAATTTAAAACACATAAAAAATTCGGGCAGAATATTAATAAATAAAAGAATTAATGTGTTTTTGGAAATAATTACAGGATTTCAGTTTAAAAAAACCTATTGTAAAATGAGAAGTTTTTAAAGTAAATTAATAATCCAATATCAATAACACAATAATTATCTTTTTTTATAATACACAGGAATTTTCTAAACAATAAAAATAAATGTAACATATAATATAAATTATAAAAAAAAATATTAAAGTTCGTAGCTACTTATGATGCTGTTTTACATANTTAGTAATTATTCCTGTTTATTGGTTTGAAAATTGTAAACACCTTTTTATTTAAAATTCATATATATTTAAATCAGAACAAGATACACAGTATACAAATAATAAATTACTATAACTTTCACACATGAAAAATAAAATGCAAAATATAATTTATCAGACAAATAAGTTATGGAATAATTTGAAATACATAAAAAATTCGCGAAGAATATTAATAAAGAAAAGAATTACAGTGCTTTTGGAAATAATTACAGGAACTTAGTTTAATAAAACTATTGTGAAATGAGTATTTTTTAAAGTAATTCAATAATCCAATATCAATAACACAATAATTATCTTTTTTATAATACGAATTTTCTACACAATAAAAATAAATGTAACATATAATATAAATTATAAAAAAATTAATAAAGTCAATAACTACTTATGATGCTGTTTTACATAATAAATAGTAAATAAATAATTTGATTTATGTCATACATTTATTTTTAAAGAAAGATGTCCTATATGTTCATAAAGTGATACTTCTGAAAATAATATATTTTGTCTATTTCTATGAATGTTATTAAAAAAAAAATAATATATTTTATTTTTTCAATAAATAAAACTTTTTAGAATAAAATATTTGAATTATTTAAAAGTGTTTAAGTTTTTAAAAATAAATATTTTATTCTACAAGAAGTAATATTTTGAAAAAAAAAAAAATATTTTATGAGTACCATCACTTAAATAAAATAATATTAAAAACTAATTAAAATTAATTAAATAATTTTCATAATTTTAATTAATATTTGATATAATATTTAAAATATATTATTTTTAGAAATATTAACTAACATTATCTGAATGATTTTTATTTCTACTTTTTATTTGTGCGTAAACATTGCTACCTTTGTAGTATTCGCAAATTATTTTAATGTCTGTTCTTATTTTACTTTGAAAGATTTTACTCCACATAACTAATATAATAGTTTGCAAATTATCCTAATATGTGAAGAAATGCTTCAACTAATGCTGTTCATAACATCATTGATTCAAATATAAAAATAAAATATAAATAATAATTAAAAGATTATTAATATAATTATAAAAATGACAATACTAAAAACACTGATCGGATTATATTGTTTATATATGTTTTCTAAAACAATATAAACTTGATTGCAATGAAATAAAAATGTCTTCTGCTTAAAACGCCCAAACCCTTATGTACGTTTCATTTTATACAATTTTGTAAAATCTTTCAATTGGATCGTTGGATGGACACAATTGCTTAACGGTCATTTTAACTAAAGGAATATTCTGGCCCTTACATTTTACATTTTTAAGATCTTTATAAGTATCTTGCATTTTCAAAATTAATACATATAAAAATCTAGCATCGCAATCACACATAAATGGATTCCCGCTCAAAGTTAATTTTTTGTAACTATGATCATACAAGTAGTAAATTATGTCGTAACTCAACTTTACTAGATGATTATTATGTAATTCTAATACCTAAAAATGTAGAAGAAGATAAAAGAGACAATTATGAAATAACTCAAATGAATGAAAAGAAAAAATAATAAAATAAGTTATTTACATACTTGGATAGTTTTTGGTAATGTATACACTGATAATTGAGTAATTTGATTATTCGATAACAATAAATGTGTTAAATTAAATGGTTTGAAATATTCTAGATGTGGTGTGAATCTTAAATTATTCCCTGTGAGATTCAATGTTAATGGATAATTTCCCTTCAAATTCATTTTGTTCTTGTCGAATCTGAATACAGAAATCTTTCTGTACGAACAATCTAAAACACGCATTCTATCATACGGTCGTATATTACAGCTACACATTGTTTGACAATTTTTCTCAATTTTAAAATAGTTATCCTCGGGACATTGATAGGTTTTAAAATCCAACTTTCTAATTTTCGGCCCTTGTATTCCATTAGGTTTCACACAATTTAGGTTTCCCAATCGAAGATCAAAGAAATTATAAACCATACTAGGCATATAACCATTAGAATAACGCACAAGGTCGTATAGATGACAATCGCATAATATCGGATTGTATTCGACGTGAACAATAACATTACGTTTTACAGTATTATATGTTACCAACATTTCGATATTAGTTAGTAAAATTTTTGTTATGTTGTTATGCCTTAGATCAACTACAAATTTGTTTGATGTAAAAACAAAGTCATTCGCCTATAAAAGAAAAAACAAGTATAAATATAAACAATTGATTTTTAATCATTTCAATTAGATTATGTAATGTATTTATGGATAGTAAAATTTGATATATACCGATATTGCACTTATGACGTTGTGACTCAGATCTAATATTTCTAACTCTATTTTATTTACTGTCCAATCAGAATAAAAATGTCTAATTCCATTGTTCGCTAAATGCAATTCCTTAAGACGACGATTATTATAAAAAGGTGACATCACTTCATTTTTATAACTAAAGGCTAACGAATTATTGGAGAATTTAGCAATCGATAGTTGTTCATTGGTTGAAAATGCTTCACTATGAATATATATCAAACCATTTCCTTCCATGTTGAGTTCTGTCAATGTTTTCAAACCTTCTAACAGAGTGCTAAAAAAAATATTTATATTTGCAGAACAATATTTGGTGTACAACTTTGCTTCCGAGATTTGTAGAAAAAATGTTGGATGCTCAGTTGTACAACTATTAGATTAAATATGAATCTTGTATAAATGTTAGAATAATTTACCTTTGAACACGAGCAATACGATTATAAGACAGGTCGAGTACTTTTAAATATTTAAGATATTTAAAAACTTCATCGGGAAGTATCTTAATCTGATTGTGACTTAATAAAAGATATTCAATTTCTATTAGATCAAAGAAGATTAATTCGGGTAATTCTTCAAGATAATTCTTACTTAAATCGATGTATTTTAAAGATGTTGAACCCCAGAAAAGATTTTCTGGTAGACTCCTAAGTCCATTATATCTCAATTGAATTTTTTCAAGATTTTCTAAATCGGTTAAAAGATCACCCGGCAATGTTGTTAGTAATGCTTTATTATTATAAAATGATACTTCTTTTAATTTTTTATTTTTTTTAAACAATTCTAATGGAAGACTATTAAAATAATTATATGAGAAATCAATTGTTTTTAATTTTTCTAAATTTTTAAAAATTTGTGGCTGTAAATTCGACAACAAATTAAATGATAGGTCTAAATGTTTTAATGAATATAATTTTTCAAATATTTTCTCATTAAGGTTTGTCAATAAATTTCCTCTAAGATTTAAAGTTCTTAAATTCTGTAGATTATGAAATACATAAAAAGGAAGCTCTGTTATTTCACTATTATGTAAATCAAGTTGCTTAAGATTCAAAGTCTCATTAAAAGTATCATTGCTTAAAACAAGAAAATTTTCAGATAAATCAAGGAATCTTAAATTAGGAAAATTTCTAAAGAAATCATATGATATATTAATTAAATAGTTAAAGGATAAAACTAATTCGGTCACATTTGAAAATCCTTGAAAATGTTCCTTTTTTAGACTTTCGCTGAGATTTCTAAAAGATATAAAGCTTAGTCTCTTTTTTTCAATTATTCCTAATTTTGTTACAATATCTTTTAATGTTGTTTCTTCTGGTAACGAGCAATTTAAAAAATGCACTGAATCGACTTTATAGATTTTTTGTACTCTCGTAAAATTAACATCTTTCCAACTAATATCATCACACCTGATCTGTTCAATTGTAATTTTATGTATTCAAACATAATACAAATTTTATTTATTAAATCACATATAGCTATTGAGTATAAATACCTTAACATCTGACCATGATTTCACGTTTATTCCAAACTTCACACCTTTGTTTGAAATGAAAAAATCATGTCTATAAAGTTCCTTTTCTGAGCATTCACAAAACGATTCTTTCTCGCATTCAGGATTATATGCGAAAATATTTGTAAAGCTAAGAAAAAGTACCACGAAAATGATCGTAGCCATTGGTGGTTATCAGTCTACATCAAAAAAGAAAATAAATAGAAAACTTTAAAGAGGAACGTTACTGTAATAATAGGAAAACAATTTTCCTACTCATTTCTTTAAGGTATGCGGATTTAGTAAAAAGAATTGGTGATGTAACTTTGCTTACAGTTCTAATATATTCCGAATTTTATATTTTTTTTGTTTATGCATTTTTATAAACTCACCTACGATCATTGATACAAAAATGTATTGATTTAATGATTTTGTTAAGTTGAGGTATGATGTAGCTTCTTCTTCTAACTTTTCGAATGATGAATAAACATTGACAGTTAAATTAAATCAACCTTTTAATTATCAAATTAAAATACCAATAACATCTCTTTGTTCTTTTCAATTCAAAATGTTAGGTCAAAGTAACGATTTCTAAACACGTACTTAAATCCTTGTGAACATAAACAATATTAGATAATTTGAAAAATAATTTATACATATATAGGTTGAAAAACATTTGAGGTAAACCGAAAGTAACGACTTCGTGTGTTAGTTAATTCCACTGTTCATTGGTTTGAAAATTGTAAACAATTTTTTATTTATAAATCATATTTATTTAAATCAAATGAAGATACACAGTTTACAAATAATAAATTATTATCAATTTTACGCTTATAAAATAAAATGTAAAATATAATTTGGCAAATATAAATTTGGCAAATATATAAATATTGTAAAATGAGTAGTTTTTAAAGTAAATCAATGATCTAATGACAATAACACAATAAATATTTTTTTTATAATACATACGATTTTTTTACACAATAAAAATAAATGTAACATACGATATAAATTCTTAAAAAATAACTATCGAAGTTCATAGCCACTTACAATGCTGTTTTACATAATAAATAGTAAATAAATAACCTAATTTATGTCATACATTTATTTTTAACTATAACATATGTTATATGTTCAAAAAGTTATACTTCAGAAAATAATATATTTTATTTATTCTACGAATCTTATTAGAGAAAAATATATATATATTTAATTTCTTCAAAAAAATGAAACTTTTTAGAATAAAATATTTGATTTTATTAAAAATGTTTAAGTTTTTAACAATCAATTTTTTATTCTGCCAAAAGTAATATTTTGAAGAAAAAAATATATTTCATTAGTACCATCACTTAATTAAAATAATATTTAAAATTTAATAATTTTAATTAATTAAACTCCCTAAATCAAACTACTATTTGGTATAGTATTTGAGATATATTATTTTCCGAAATATTAACTAACACTTCCTGAATTATTCTTATCTTTACTTATTATTTTATACAAAAAAATCGTTTTTTTTTTTTTGTATACGCAAATTATTTTAATGTGTATTCTTCGCTTACTTTGAAAGATTTTACTCCACATTACAAATATAATAGTTTGCAAATTATACTGATGTGTGAAGAAATGCTTCTGCTAATGTTGTTCATAACATCATTGATTCAAATATAAATATGTAATATAAATAATAATTAAAAGATTATAAATATAATTATAAAATTGACAATACTAAAAACACTGATAGGATTATATTGTTTTTATATGTTTTCTAAAACAATATATAGACTTGATTACAACGAAATAAAAATATACTTTTCTAAAAACGGCCAAACCTTTATATACGTTTCATTTTATTCCACATTGTTGACGAATTAATGAGGCGGAACATTGGAAGGACACAATTGATCAACGGTCATATTAACTAAAGGAATATTGTGGTCCTTACATTTCACATTTTTTAGATCTTTAGAAATATCTTGCATTTTCGAAACTAATTCATATAAATATCTAGTATAGCAATCACATACAAATGGATTGCCGCTCAAAGTTAACTTTTTGTAATTTTGTTTCAACAAGTATTCACTTACGTCCGTAGTCATGCCTATTATTTCATTATTATGTAATTCTAATACCTAAAAATGTTAAAAGAAGATAAAAGTGACAATTATGAAATAATTCAAATGAATGAAAAGAAAAAATAATAAAATAAGTTATCTACATACTTGGATAGTTTTTGGTAATCTGTCCAACAATATATCAGAAATCTTATTATTAGATAACAATAATTCTGTTACATTAATTGATTCTAAATCATCGAGTATTGGCATAAATCTTAAATTATTTCCTGTGAGATTCAATGTTAATGGATAATTTCCCTCCAAATTCATATTATTCTTGTCGATTCTGAATACAGAAATAGAATTGTACGAGCAATCTAATACACGCATTTTATCATACGGTCGTATATTACAGCTACACATAGGATGACACTTAATTTTAACTCTAAAGTATTCATCCTCGAAACATTGGTAGGTTTTAAAATCCAACTGATTAATTTGTGGCCCTTTTATTCCATTAGGATGCACACACTTTAAGTTTGCTAATCTAAGTTGAAAGAAATTATAAACAGTAATAGGCATATCACCGTTAGCATAACGCACAAGGTCGTATAGTTGACAATCGCATAATATCGGATTGTTTCTGAGGTAAATAGTAACATCACGTTTTACAGTAACATATGATATATACTTTTTGATATTACTTAGTAAAATATGGTGTATGTTGTTATTCCTTAGATTGACTACAAGTTTATTCGACGAAAAAACAAAGTCATCCGCCTATAAAAGAAAAAAACATATATAAATATAAAAAAGTCATTTTTAATCATTTCAATGATAATATTCAATGTATTGATTGATAGTAAAATTTGATATTTACCGATAGTACTCCTATGTTGTTGTCACTCAAATCTAAAAATTGTAATTCTATTTTAGTTACTGTCCAATCTTCATGAAAATGATTTAATATATTGTGCGCTAAATGCAGTTCCTTAAGATGACGATTATTGTAAAAAGGTGACTTCTCTCCATTTTCATATTTAAAGGTTAGCAGATTACTTGAGAAGTTAGCAATGTATAGTTGCTCATTGGTTGAAAATGCTTCAATATCAATATATATCATGTCATTTCCTTCCATGTAAAGTTCTCTTAAAGATTTCAAACCTTCTAACAGAGTGCTAAAAAAATATTTATATTTAAAGAACAATATTTCGTGTACAACTTTGCTTCCGAGATTTGTAGAAGAAATGGTGGATGCTCAGTTGTACAAGTATTAGATTAAATATGAATCTTGTATAAATTGTAGAATAATTTACCTTTGAACGTAAACAATACGATTATAAGACAAGTCGAGTACTTTTAAATATTTTAAATATTTAAAAATTGCATCAGGAAGCATTTCAATTAGATTGTTACTTAAATAAAGTTCTTCAATATGTATTAGGTCAAAGAAGATTAATTCGGGTAATTCTTCAAAAGAATTCAAACTTAAATCGATGTATTTTAAAGATGTTGATCCCCAGAAAAGCTTTTCGGGTAGACTACTAATTCCATTATTTCTCAATTGAATTTTTTCAAGATTTTGTAAATCGGTTAAAAGATCAACCGGCAATGTTGTTAATAATGCTTCATTATTATCATTAAATGCTACTTCTTTTAATTTTTGATTCTTTTTAAACAATCCTAATGGAAGACTACTGAAATTATTATTTGACAAATCAATTGCTTCTAAATTTTCTAAATTGTAAAAAATTGTTTTCTGTAAATCTTGCAACAAATTAAATGATAGGTATAAATGTTTTAATGAAGATAATTTTTCAAATATTTTCTCATTAAGTTCTGTCAATAAATTTCCTCTAAGATTTAAAGTTATTAAATTCTGTAGATTATGAAATACATAAAGAGGAAGCTCTGTTAAGTTATTATTTTGTAAATCAAGTTGCTTAAGATTTAAAGTCTCATTAAAAGTATCGTTGCTTAAAACAAGAAAATTTTCAGACAAATCAAGAAATCTTAAATTAGGAAAATTTGTAAAGAAATCATATGATATATTAGTTAAAGCGTTAAAGGATAAAACTAATTCGGTCACATTTGAAAATCCTTCAAAATGTTCTTTTTTTAGAATTTCGCTGAGATTTTTATTAGAGTGAAAGCTTAGACCTTTTTTTTCAATTATTCCTAATTTGTTTACAATATCTTTTAATGAAGTTTCTTCTGGTAGCGGGCATTCAAGAAATATCACTGAATCGACTTTATAGCTTTTTTCTTCTCTCGTAAGATTAACATCTTTCCAACTAATATCTTCACACTCAATCTGTTAAATTGTAATTTTATGTATTTAAAGAAAATACACATTTTTTTTATTAAATCACATATAACATTCCATTTTGAGAATAAAATATGACTGAATATAAATAAATTGATAAGCTATTGAGTATAAATACCTGAACATATGACCATTTTTTCACGTTTATTCCAAACTTCACACCTTTGTTTAAAATGAAAAAATCATGTCTATAAAGTTCCTTTTCTGAGCATTTACAAAACGATTCTCTCTCGCATTCAGGATCATATGCAAAAATATTTGTAAAGAAAAGAAAAATTACCACGAAAATGATCGTAGCCATTGTTGGTTATCAATCTACATCAAAAAAGAAAATAATTAGAATACTTTAAAGAGGATTGTTACTGTGATAATTAAAAAACAATTTTTCAATTCACTTCTTTAAGGTTTGCGGATTTAGTAAAGAGAATTTGTGATTTAACTTTTCTTACAGTTCTAATATATTTCAAAGATTCTACTTTTTATGTTTTTGAATTTTTATGAACTTACCTACGATCGTTGATACAAAAATGTATTGGTTTAATGATTTTCTTAAGTTGCTGTATGATGTAGCTTCTTCTTCTAACTTTTCAAATGATGAATAAACATCGACAGTTAAATTCAATCAATCTATCAATAATCAAATTAAAATAGAAATAAGATCTCTTTGTCCTCTTCAATTCAAAATGTTAGGTCAAAGTAACGAATTATCAAACACTTAGTTACTTCCTTGTAAACATAAACAATATTAGAAAATTTGAAAAATAATATATACATATATAGGTTGAATTACATTTGAGGAAAACCGAAACTAACGACTTCATGTGTTAGTTAATTCCACAGTTCATTGGTTTGAAAATTGTAAACAATTTTTTCTTTATAAATCATATTTATTTAAATTAAGACAAGATACACAGTTTACAAATAATAAATTATTATCACTTTCACGCTTATAAAATAAAATGTAAAATATAATTTGGCAAATATAAATTTGCAATATATAAATATTGTGAAATGAGTAGTTTTTAAAGTAAATCAATGATCTAATAGCAATAACACAATAATTATCTTTTTTATAATACATACGAATTTTCTACACAATAAAAATAAATATAACATATAATATAAATTACAAAAAAATATT